TACAATAATGCCAATTATGCAGTTACTCAACATTTTATGCTGCCTTTGTGTCTTTATGGTTTAGAATTAGCACACAATTCAAACTTCAAATCAATTAACAGCATTATCTTTTAAGTGGAGCTTGTTTTGGCTTGTATGCTATTGCTAATTAATTGAATTCTTTGTCCCTAAATTTTCTTGATGCTTCTGTTCACATAATAATGAATGAGTTTTACATGAAGTTTTTTTTTCTCAGTAAACATGTAAACTTATGAGCTTAGGGTTAAATAGTGAATTGGTTGACAAGTTTATGAACTTGAATACAAAGACTTTAAAACAAACTTCTGTAGATAATTTCTGGAGAACAAGTTGTCATTTTTAGCAAGAAGTCAGATATTTCCCCATTCAGTTCTCCCCAGCACATACATATAAATTGTCTGAATCCCTACTTAGGCTACCGATAACTCAAAAGAGTACATTTTCCTTTTGAAATTCAGGAGTTAACAGACATGATGCGAGTAGTCAGGTCACTACTGCAGGTATATTTTAGTGACACTCTGATGTGCCTAATGACAACATACTGAATGCAATCTAATGCCTCTCAAACTTTTCAATGAAACATGTTGATTCACCTTTTATAAAAACTGCAGTAAAACTCCAGACTTGGGTCTAATATCACTACTTCATTCTATTCACTTGGTTAAGGTGGGGACTAGAGAGAGGCAAGTGACTTTGCCAGGGCACAGCGTTAAGGAGGCACTCACCTTCACATCGCACGAAGTGCCAAACATGCACTTACTCAACTGCAATGCTAGACAATATATAAACAAATAACCGTGGCTATGAAACAAGTCACACTAGATCTAAATAAATTAAAATTGCACAATCTATGCTCTCCATTCCTAATGGAATTAAATTAGATATTAATGGGACATTTTTGAGAAACCTTCAAATATTTGGAAATTAAACCAATTTCTAAAATAACCTGAGTTAAAGAAGAGATTGCAACTGAATACATATATACAAAACATATCAAAATTTATGGAATGTAGCTAAATCAATGCTTAGAAGTAAGTTTAATTTGTAGCTCTACATTCCTACATTAAAAAAAATGAAAAATTTCTCAAATCAATATCCTACGTTTTTATCTTAAATGACTAGAAAAAGAAGAGCAAACTGAACCCCAAGGAAAGGAAATGGTGAGATTAGAGCAAAAATCATTAAAACTGAGAAGAAAATTTGATGAAACAAGATCTTGTATTTGAGAAAAATAAAATTTACATATCTTTATGATACCGAATTTTTGGACTGGAACCCGGATTCTTTGTCAGCCGGAATCGAAGAATGAGTCCATGGACAGAAAGTGGTATAGCAAAGATGGAGATTTATTGAAGAACAAGTACAGACTCCCGCATGGGGAGAGGGAAAGAGTCCCACAGAACTGATTCTATGGGAAAAGGGTCCCAAGGAGTTCCTTTTCCCTATGGTTGATAAAGACTGCAGATCCTGGTGCCTGATATCCCCTCTGATTGGTCAATATTCCCCTTAGACATGTGAGGTTCTCCCTCCTCTTTCCCTCTGGGCTTTCTTCTTTTCCATCTGAATGAAGGGCTTCCTTCTCTTTATTTTGTAAATATAGAGCTTTCTTGGCTACTTTCAGTTCCCTTGTCCCCTGTAAATGTAACTGTTGCTGCTCCCTTGTCTTATGGAGATGAAACTGCACCTGGCTTCCTTGTGTTATGGAAACGTACCTTCTCTCAGTCTGCAGCCCTGCGCTTTACCATGGACCCCAATTCTAAGAAATTCCTAATCCTGCCTATGTTCCCCCTAAAATTCCTGCTTCATTTAGTTGAACTGACCAAGAAAAAAACAAAGGAAGACACAAATTAACAAAGCCAGGATTTAAAGTGAGAACATCATTAATGACCATTCATAAATGAAAAGGATTACATGGAAAAAACTATAAAAACAATATGCCAAAAAATTAGACCACTTAAGTGAACTAGACAAATTCTTAGAAAGGTGCAAGGTACTAAACTGTCTCAAGAAGAAATAGAAAATCTATACAGACCTACCAAATATTTAAAGGATTAGTATAAATCTCTATAAACTTCATAAAAATATAGAAGATGACACATTTTATGAAGCCACTATATCCTAATACTAAAACCAAACAAAGATACAAGAAAACTAAAACACAATATCACTTAGGAATAAACATTTTAAAACTTCAAAATATGAGCTCAGCAAATTAAATAACATGTAAAATATTTTTGTACTCTGACAAAGTGGGATTTTTTTTGCAAGAATGCAAGATTGCTTTAATATCTGAAAATTAATTAATAAAATAGACCATATTATCAGCATGAAGGACAAAATCAAATAATCTTTCTAGATGCAGAAAAAAAATTTTTGACAAAATCCAACACACATCCTATATAATCCTATATAATCAAAAACTAATATGCTAATTAGACCAAACAGCAGACCAACCTAGGGCATCCTTCCTGATCTTCCCAATGAAGCCGGGGCTGCAAGGGCTGGCAAAGGCTGTGAGGGGCTGTGAGGGCCGAGCCCCTTACACGAATTTTGTGCATCCGGCTTCTAGTTTATTATAAAGCTCTATATCAATTATAAAGAGAACAAAACTGTCTCATTCTGATCAAAAGCATCTCTGGCAATTGTCCTGTTAACATCACACAAGTGATGTTGGGCTGGAAGATTTGCCCTTAAGAATGAGAACAGGACTTTGATAGCCACTTTTACTAAGTCTAGTCAACATTATGCAGAATGTTCCAGACTGTTTGCTAGGGGGGAATAAAAGATACAAGAAAATAATGACTGAAGAAGGGGAAGTAAAACAAGTCTTTATTAACAAGTGCCATAATCTCATATGTAGAAAATCCTAAGGAATCCAAAAAAAAAAAAAGAACTTTGGAGTAATGAATTTATAAAACCTGCATGATACAAGATAATATACAAAAGGTAATTATATTTCTATATCTGAGCAACAAAATTTCAAAAGTACAGTTAAGAAAATAATTTCCCTAAAAATAGTATCAAATTGACAAAATGCTTAGGTATCAGTTTAATTCATTAAATGCAAAACTTTCACTGACAACTACAAAATATTACTGAGAGACATGAAAAAAATATCAAACAAATGGGGAGATATTGCATATTCATTGATTAAAACTCCATACTATTAACATGATAATTTTTCCTAATTTTATTTATTGATTCATTGAAATCCCTATTGATATTCCTGCTGGCTTTTGTATAGAAATTCACAATGAAACTGCAAAGAAAAAAGGAAAATAGTTAGATGGCTTCCCAACCTAAAATGTAATAACATGTTCCATTCATCCAGACAATGTATTATTGCATATGGATAGGTTGGTCAGTTGATTTTTACAATAGTGAAAGAGGAAATTAAATGGATGAAAAAGTATTTTCAAAACATTTTGTTGGGACAATTTATACCAATATGTAAAGAAATTTATATATATAATTTCAAACATTCACATATATGTGCATAGGAAATAACGTATCCTTATCTCATACTATCCCAAATTAACCCAAACACATCAGAGATATAAATAAGAGCTTAAATGATAAAATTTCTAATAAAATATAAAAGAAAATCTTTATGACCATTATTCGTCAAAGCTTTGATATACACCAAAAGATGATAAAGCTAAGTGAAAAAAAATGTTACAAAGTGAACTTAATAAAATGAAGTCCATTGGTAATTTGGAATTAAATGAAAACTTTCTATCCAAAAGTCACCAACTGAGAAAATGACTAGAAAAACCAAGGCAAAGCACGGCAAGGAGAAAATATTTTCAGGTCACATAAATCATATGGAATTATATTCAGATAATACAAGGAATACTCACTACTTAATACTAAATAAATACATAAAAAGACAAACAACACAATTTAAAATAGTGTAACATTTGAACAGACATTTTATTAAAGAGGATGTACAAATGTATCATGAACGTATGAGAAGATACTCAGAATTGTTAGTCTTATTGAAATGCATATTGAAACCACAAGGAAGTACTATTTCACACCCACTAGAATTATTATAAAAAAGGAGATAGACAATATCAAATGTTAGCAAAAATGTAGAGAAACAGGATACTGTATGCATTGCTGGTGTGAATTTAAAATGGCACAGTCACTTTGCAAAATAATCTGGTAATTTCTTAAAAAGTGATGCAAAAATTTACCATACACCTCAGCAATTCTAGCACTAGGAATCTGTCCAAGAGATATAAAATATATAGCCACACAAATATGTGTGTGTGAATTCATTACTTATAAAATTAGCTGATAAAAAGTAAATCTTAAAGTTCTCATCACAAGAAAAAATTATTATGCATGATAATGAATATTAACTGAACTTATGCTCATTTCTCAATATTTACATCATTAAGTTGTACACCTGAAACTCATATAATATTAAATGTCAGTTATATCTCAATAAAAAGTACAAAGTGAAAACAAGCCAAATCTTCATTAACTGATGAATGGATGAGCAAAATGTTGAATACATTGTGAATTCTCTTTGGCAGTAAAACCAACAAAGTACTGATACATGTTACAACATGAAAAATCCTCAAATTTTTTTATGATAAGCAAAAGAAGCCAATCACAAAAAACAACATTATTGTACCATTCTGTTTATGTAATGCCCAGAAAACGCAAATCTATAGAGACAGTATGATTAATGGTGCCTAGGACTGGAGTTGGGAACCAAGAATCATCATAAATGTGCTCATCTTTGGGTCATGAAAATATGCTAAAACTGGATAGTGTGATGGTTGAAGAGCTCAATACATTTGCAAAAGTTATTGAATTATTTATTTGAAATTGATTAATCCTATGATATGTAAATTATACTACTAAAATTTTGGTAAAGAAAAGGTTCCATGAACTCTAGAGTCTTTTTCTATCATAAGTTTTGCTACATATCTATGTTCATATTTTATTTTTGTGTGTGATCTCTTAAGGTCCATTCTGTGAAGAGTCAATGGGGCATTGTGTTTCTTGGTATTGTTGGAAAAGGGGAATTTGCCAAAATGAAAGCTCTGCTTACATTTGTGAATGTGCAGAAGGATTTCTCAATCAAGACTGTGAAATTGATAACAAGAACTGTTCATTAATACCATGTCAGAATGGTAATTACTGCAATGATATTTCAAATGTAAGTCTGAATCTAACATACAAGAGAGTGGCTTTAAAACATTTTGACAGTTACCAAACTATTTCAAAAGTACAAAATTTATATTTTTCATTATTATAATTTTTCAAGCTCAAGATATCTACGTTTCTTATTTAAATTTTCCTATTTTAAATGGAAACCCCAATTCCAAAAGCACTATTTAGTTTCATTTTCTCTCTTGCATCAAAATTCTCCCCTGAAAACAATGTAATTTTGTAAACTTTTAAATTTTAATTTATTGGTTTTTAAATTTTTAAATTATTTGCTTATTTGATATTTTTTAATTATAACTTTTAATTTTAACATTTAAATAAATAATACTAAAAATAATTTAATAGTTCCCACAAATCACTATCTTATTTTAGTAATATTTTCATTTTAATTCATATTTAAATCTTAAAGGTTTCTTTACTCACATGTGTGGTAGTTATGCGGGCTGTCAACTGGGACCTAAGCTGGAGCCATCAACCAGAACCTTATCTAACTACCCTGCATGGCTTGGGGACTAGGTTCCAAAATAATTAGATTGGCACCGTATGGCTTTTAAATTTGTCTTTGAAAGCCCCAGAGCATCACTTTTTGTATAGTCAGAAATTTCTTACATTCAAGTGGGAGAAATAAAGTCCCCAACTCTCAATTAGAGGAGTGTTGAATTCACATAGTTAGGAAATATGTGAATTGTTTTGACATTTTGGAAAGTAAAGTCCTCCACATTGTTGTAAAGAAAACTTCGACTACATGCTTATGAGAATAATGTCCATCATTTCATCATCTTTGAAGTATCTCAAAACTTTAATAAAAATACTTTTTAATGTTCCCAAGGTTACCATATGCATCTGTGCAACAATATTGACAGGCAAGCTTTGTAAGAGACTTCAAACACCATGTGACTCATTTCCTTGCAAGAATAATGCAACATAAACTGTGAGAAAGATTATCATTGCAGGTATAATTCATTTGTTATTTTATTAAATAAAAACATATGAGTTTTAAATAAATGTTCTGTTTTAAACCTAATTTTTATTTAATAACATAATTGATTTAAAGTTAAAGTAGAAACTTTTAAATGTGATTTTATGTTGTTTAATTATTGTGGTATTGATTTTGAACAAATATTTAAGAATTTCTGAGATATAATTTGGCATACAGTTGTAAAACATATATTTTGTTTCATAATGATGATTTTTAGGATAAAAATAATATTTGAAAGTCTAGGAAAAGAGATTGATGTAAGTACCTTTAGTATTATTTATATTATATACATACAATGCTAATATTATATTTTGAAAGTATAGAGCAACCATCTCTTCCTTCAATTCACAGATCTCAGCTAACAAATTTCAGTTAGGGTCTTTAGGCAAACTTTTTAGGAAGCAGTGCTTTAGTTAAATAAGAATTGCTAAAAAAAAATTACCCATTTATAAAAGATAGAAGTGACCTAGTTATCTGGGTCTATAATTTAGTCCATCATAAATAGCTTTATAGATACTTCCTCACAACATTAAGAAGTATAATTTGTACTCTCCACTCTTGCTTGGGTTTTATGTGACTGCTTAAAGTAAGTTCTGTTAGGCATTACTGAAAGGCAATAAATAGGCTCAAGTTTTAGAATATTCATAAAAGCAGAAAATTAAAATATCTGGTACAGGAAAGACTTAAAACACACTGGAAAAAAGTAACTTAGAACATGTATACATATCACAGTTGTACAATGGATAGTATTTCCATCAACTTTAAAGGAATCGAAACATAAGGTTTGCCCTAGCCGGTTTGGCTCAGTGGATAGAGCATTGGCCTGCAGACTGAAGTGTCCCAGGTTCAATTCCGGTCAAGGGCACATGCCTGCATTGCAGGCTTGATCCCCAGTAGGGGGCGTGCAGGAGGCAGCCGATCAATAATTCTCTCTCATCATTGATGTTTCTATCTCTTCTCCCTCTCCTTTCTTCTCTGAAATCAATAAAAATATATTTAAAAAAAATAAAAAATAAACATAAGGTTTAAAAACATTACGTTTTTAAAATGTGACATTTTCTTTTTTTTTTTTTTTAAATATATTTTATTGATATTTTTACAGAGAGGAAGGGAGAGGGAGAGGGATAGCGAGTTAGAAACATCGATTCAGCTGCCTCTTGCACGCCCCCCACTGGGGATGTGCCCGCAACCCAGGTACATGCCCTTGACTGGAATCGAACCCGGGACCCTTGAGTCCGCAGGCCGACGCTCTATCCGCTGAGCCAAACCAGCTAGGGCTAAAATGTGACATTTTCAAAAGAGAATGAAACTTGATGATCATTCCAAGATATTGAAAGTTCTAACCCATCCAGTCAAATTTGTATATACATTCAATCTTAAGTCAACTTACCAATAAACCCAATTATTATCTTTAGAAAAATATTGACTTTTAATTTATAATTTCTAGTTCTTATAGTACTTGTATATATTATTTTACTTTGAAAAGTGTTCAACTTTTAAAAATATCTAAGAATTATATCAATATGAGTAAATATGCATTTATTTATAATATTTATTTTTAATTAAATATGATGCATTTATTGGCCCTTATTAATAGCAATATTCTGGCTGTTTAGAAGACCTTTCTTTTTTTTTTTAGAAGGATTTTCTTTTAAATTTCATCATCTAGGGGAAAAATGGATAACCAAAAACAAGATATTGGATAATGAAATATATAAAAAGTGGAGGCCCGGTGCATGAAATTTGTGCACGGTAGGGTCCCTAGGCGTGGCAGGGGATCAGGGCCATTCTGTGGAGTGACCAGAGGGACAGTCAGGGGGCCCCTGCTGGCACCCTCCTTGGCCAGCCTGGTGCTGCCTGCTGGCCGTCCCTGCTCCCTGCCACTGCTGCCAGTCACCTTCCTCTGTGGGGCAACCAGTGGGGTGATCAGGGGGCCCCTGCTGGCACTCGCCTTGGCTTGTCTGGGCTGGGGGAAGCTCCTGCGTTCCACCAGTCGTTCTGCTGTTTGGTTGATTTGTATATATACTAGGCTTTTATTATATAGGATTATGTCTACTAGTAAAATCAGAAATTTCATGATACACAGGTTTTGCTTCTAAATCTTTTATTTTCTCCACTCATATTCTAACATATTTCATGCTAAAATAATGTTTTATTTTACTCTCAGCTTGTTTTTTTCTCACATGTTTCTTAGTCACTGAATAGCAATTATAGTTGGCCCTACTCCAGTATCAATTCAATGCATTAACATATTTTATTTTTCTAAAGTCAGTTTCCACATTTCATGTAGTACATGTAATGTCTCACTATATCAGCCATGGGTAGAGTTAAGGTTTTCAATTTCTGTCACAAGTAAACCTAATTAAGCATGCACTGTGACTTTGAAAGAGAACAGTGTACAACAGAATTTACATAGGTCAACATATTTCTTTTCAACATATAATGCAGTTGCATTTTCACATTAACTTTGAAAAATGCTTTTAAAAATAGGAGTCACACATTTAAGTGATGAATTTGTTAATTAATGAAAGGTGTCTACTTGGTCACTCAATAATTTTCAACTAACAGGACACCTCAATTTCTTCAAGTTACTTATCTCAAAAGCTGAGCGGCTATATTTTTCTTTCCTTGAAATTCAAAGCCCTATTTATAAGGGTAACTTTCACTTTTGAATAAATTATTCTAAAATTTAACAAACCAAAATGTTGTTAAATTTTAAATATAGTTTTATAATTTCATATTTTGGTTGTAAAATATATACTATTGAAAATATATTTCCTCATCAAGACTATTTTCTGCTATTCATATCATTTTATATTTTTCTGGGACTATTACAGGTGACAGAAGTGATTCTCAGATCTGGTCCCCTAAGGGCCTCATTTTGAGAACATATGCTCACATTAGTACAACTTTTCTCCCATTAGTCCTGAACCTATTAATTTTCATTTAAGTAATCTTATATAATAAAAGCCTAATATGCAAATTGACCAAATGGCAGAACGACCGGTCACTGTGATGTGCACTAACCACCAGGTGGCAGACACTCAATACAGGTGCTGCCCCCTGGTGGTCAGTGATCTCCCACGGGGGGAGGGGGGACACTCAGCCAGAAGCCGGGCTCATGGCTGGCAAGCACAGCGGTGGTGTCAGGAGCCTCTCCCGCCCCCGCGGCAGTGCTAAGGGGCAGTGAGCAGGTGGGCGGTAAGGAGCCAGGATTCCCGGACTGCTAGAGGGCGCAGGCTGGGCTGAGGGACACTCTCCCGCCCAGTGCATAAATTTCGTGCACCCAGCCTCTAGTAAATAATAAAACATTATGACAGAGTTAGTACAGACCTACATGCATAAAGATTGAATTAATATCATGCATCCTCTAAGTGTTGTAGGGTGTAGCTGATCTAATTCTCTGTAAAATTTCTAACATTTCTTAATATCCAGTACTCTTCCACTGTGCCTTCAGGATCATTTTGTCAGCAGCCAATTCTCTAATACCACAATTTCTTTTGTATACCTTCCTTTCTCTCCATAACCTGTGTACAACTGGTGAGAAACTTTTGCCCTTGTTACCATATCCCGACCATTTTTCTTCCACCTCCTGTTCTTGAAGGAGAAGTCTATTCATTTTTAGCAAATGACATCAGCTATGCCATTCTCTCTCTAACTCTGTTTCTTCCTTCCAATGCTCCTTTTCAAAGTATCTCTTTTCTCAATTCCTGTCCCCCCAACCCCACTAAAGGTTTTAGCATCTGTCCTTTTCTCTGCCATTATTGTCATCTTCCTAATGATTTCTATATCAATTTTGGAAATTCACCCATCGTGGTTGTGTAAATTATTTGACAATTATTTTACAATTAGTTTTTCCTCCTCCTCCTCTTCTTGGCCCATTTCTCATGGTGATATCTTATAATTTATCATGACCTGTAATTGCACATTCCCAACCTCTTGCTTTATATATTTTCACTCTCTAATCAACATTGCATGCATTTCAAGCTCACTCACTCATACACTCTATCCACAGAATTATATAATGTGTTTCTATAAACAACAACACCTCTAATTATTTGACTGCACTTGCTCTCTTCTGTCCCTTAACCTAGGCAGGTCCTTATTTTCCTTTTTACAAAGCATACCTGTATATTCACTCTCAAACTCCTTATCTCTCTCTTTCTATGTTCTATTTACCTGCAAACACCAAACATGCTTAATATCGCATCCCACCAGGTAAGCCTGTGTATATTTCCATGCATATCCAATGTGGCATCTCAAACTTAACATATTCCAAATTAATGGTTAAATATTCAACATTAATGGTTGACATACACCTGCTTTTCTGTCATTGTTCTTTAGATTTATCTGTGATTTTTTGTATCTCTCTGTCAATCTACTTCTTGTCCATCAGCAATCCTTCAAGTTCTCCCATACGTATATATCATGAATATAAACACTTTCATCATTATGAAGTTAACACTCTTTTCAAGCCACCAAAAATCTTCATTGGAACAGTTCAGTTATCCCCCATTTGACCTCGTTGCTTTGACTCTTCATGCAAGTATATGTAGAGCAGTGAATGAAATTCAGCATCATTGAGAAAGCTAATATTTGGGTAGTGAGTTAAGTGACATGGTGGACCATGCAGTTTTCTAGGTCAGTGGTCGGCAAACTGCGGCCCCTTGAGTGTGGCTCTTCCACAAAATACCACGTGTGGGCGCGCACATACAGTGCTATTGAAACTTCATGGCCACACTGAAGGGGCCAAAGAGCCGCATGTGGCTCGCGAGCCGTGGTTTGCCGACCACGGATCTAGGGGAACAATGTCTATGGCAGAGGGAGCACCAAATGCAAAGCCCCCATCCTATTGGGATCATACTAATGAGACTGGTCTGAAGAAAGCAACGGAAGGGAGTGAGAACAGAGAAGAAACGAGATCAGGGCAGTTGCAGATCCTGCAGATACCATTTTAATGTCTTTGAGCTTCAC